GGGGGGGGGCTCTCTCAGCTTGGGTGCCCTATAGGAAATTCCCTCTTTGCTAAGCTGGTTTCAACGCCCCTGCAGGATAGCAGGGAGTGGAGCCACGCAGGTTGGTTTTCTCTCTCTCTCTCTCTCTCTCTCTCTCTCTCTCTCTCTCTCTCTCTCTCTCTCTCTCTCTCTCTCTCTCTCTCTCACATTTTGTTATTGTTTGGAGTGAAGTGAACTTGACCCCATGGGTTTTAAAAAAAACGGGAACTGTAAGAGCATCAAGTTAAAGCTTCGTTTTTTTGGAAACTTAGCCAACGTGAGGCTGATCTGAGCGGAAATATCAAAATATTACTCACATTGACCGCCTTTTAAAAAAAAAAACTGCTATAAACATTCATGTGACACTTTGAACCCGAAACATTTTAATTCTAACAAGTCCAAATTCCAGTGCTGAAGTCTGACAGAAAAGTTTGTATGATCAACTAGAAGAAGAGTAAGAGCTCTGATTGTGTGAGAAGATACAAGCCGCCCCCAGGGTATCAGTCTGATGAGTGTTTCACATGTGTGTTGTGAAAGGGGAAGTGTTGTGACGCTGCAGTTTGGTGTTGCAACCAATCTGTAGCTTCCTGTTTGCACTTGTTGAACACCACTGTACAGTATCACCTCGTGTGTGTGTGTGCACAGTTTGAGCCTCAGGGCTGTTAACATGAGTATCACCTCCTTTTGTCTTGAGGCCGGTCAGGCGTCAGTGATTCAGTTTGCTTGAGTCGATCAGGCTTCGTAATGTGATAATGATGCTGAGCGTCTCTGACACACAGACACATGTGCTGCTACGGGTGAAATGGGAAGACAGCACCACCGTGTGGTCATGGGGGAAAATTGAAAGTTAACAGATCGACTCAGTGGCTTTAAAATACTAATTTTTATTACAGAAATCCAACCATCACAATATAATATCACATTTCATACATTAAACGAGCAGTCACACAACAAACCCTCACAATCATAGTACATTCATTAAAATGCAGATATCTCAGAAAACTACAAGATCACACAAATGTCAGCACTGGGAGCCAGCAGGTAAAAGTAGAGACTCCACTAGCGTTGCACTGATGCACTTAATTTCATTTTCAAGATATTTTCCTCCAAAGGATGTGAAGATGTGACCTTGTGTAAAAAGATCGCAGGCCACATCCATGCTACTATGTGTTAGCTTGAAAACGCCATTTTAAAACCAGAACTGTTTGTGTCCTGACGAGGGCTCTCAGGGCGCAGGCCAGCGTTCACCACTGATGCCTTTGTGTATCTGTGACCGGGCCCTAGAACACGTGAACGTGCCGTGTAAACAGGAATTACATGAATGACAGCTTGTCTCTGACACTTGTTAGCAAAAGGATTAGTTTACACTTGTCGAGTGATTATCCATGTCCAACGTACTCTGGTATCCAAGGCTCATGCCCGTTGTTTTCTTCGGCAAAGGCTACGTCATGCCACCGTTTGCAAAGCGTCTCCGCATGTGCCTGAAAACTAAAACAGGACCAGCAGCGTTTCCAAACTGGTAAAACGTAGTAGTATGGATTTAGCCTCAGTCCGAGTCCAAACCTCCTGCAGAACTAACCCTGATGGAGCTTTTTAGCATTTTAGTGTTCCAGATAATTAAAAGGCTGAACTACCCTCTAAAAATAAGATTCACTTGTTGAACGTGACAGAATTCTGTGATTTTGAGTAGTTTCTGGTATAAAATTATCAAACTTAAATAACCGGCACAAAATATTGCAAAAAAAAACAAAAAAAAACAGAAAACCAGGTGATGAGCCATTCTTGTTGATAAATGCTGGTATCGGCTACGAACATCAAACCAGTCCAGGGGAGAATATTTCCTCTTGTATAGCTGCAAACTCCAGAGACGTGCTGTGTTAAGAGAGTTGATAAGCTCCCCAGAATGTGTTGTCTTTTAGAAAGTCATCTGTGATATTCAAGCTGACGCTGTCTCCCTCCACGAGATGGACGATCTTGCCCACCCACACAGAACCCTCCGTCGTACCTGGGAAGGTTCCCACAACCAGTTTCTTCTTTCTCCTACCGACCGTCGGGTTTCTAACCAAAATCACAGATTTGGCTCCGCTTGTGTTGTGGTGCACGGTGAAGGTGACCTGGGCGTAGATGAAGTAGAGGCTGTTTTTCTGGCAGTGGATGGAGTTGTTTCTCAGGGCGAGCGAGGAGGAGCGACACGGAGGGGCTTCCTGCCAAGAGTCATCGGTCACAGCTGTAAGAGAGACGTCGCACTTTAGTCTCAAGCATTTTCAACTCATGCGTGGAACTTTAGGCAGTTACTTGAAATTATTTACATGCTCAAATGCTGCAGCTCCTCTTTTCAGCCTCTGTCTCAAACACTTGCGGGAAATGTCAGCCTCGGATTTGCTAGCAAGACCAGCTGCTGAGTTTGCATCATGCAAATGTGGCACATGTTTGTAATTTGAACCCACAGAGGTTAAAGATAAATGAATTGAATTGAGTGCATTCATGTTTGTGTTGAACCATTAGGCCATTTAAAGGTTCACACTCAGATGATCAGCTTGAATAAAGACGTTGATAAATAACCTTTAATTCCAAATGGCAAACCGAGCGTCCCCTGACTATCTGATGCTGTTTGTCTCCGTGGGCTGTGATTACACCTAAAGCCGACATGAGCCACATAATAGATCTGCCTCTGGTTTGTTGTGGTTGAAAAAAACCCACTTCAGGAAGATTCGGGGTGGGAGGAACAGAGCGTGAGACTGGAAACATGACGGCGCAGTGGTTTAGACTGGGTGTGAGGGAGAAGAGAGGAACGTCTTTATCTGAGAGCTGCGATCGATCCTCTACTCCGCAGTCGCCCTGCTGCAAATGATCATTTCAATCCAATGCAGCCATCACCAAGAGTCCCACTCTGTTTCCAGTTGCATTACATCGTGCACATGTTCTTGTATCCAGCACGTACGTGGACATGTGTTGACACGGTGAAGACTGCGTCCCTATTGGCTGTCACCTGGCAGCTAGAGCCTGTCGGTTGTCGTGCTGCTGCCACCCAGAGGTGAGAGTCTGACACTTGATACAGTGAAGTTGCAGCAGAAACAAATATGTTGAGCTAGTTCTGATTACACTGATCTATGTGGGTGTTTACAATAACTTTGGTTTAATCAGGTTGAATAAAGACGTTGATCCTCCAAATAACATTTAATTCCAAATGGCAAACCGAGCGTCCCCTGACTATCTGATGCTGTTTGTCTCCGTGGGCTGTGATTACACCTAAAGCCGACGTGAGCCACATAATAGATCTGCCTCTGGTTTGTTGTGGTTGAAGAAACCCACTTCACACAGGAAGAGTCGGGGTGGGAGGAACAGAGCATGAGGCTGGAAACATGACAGCGCAGTGGTTTAGACACCAAAAATGTTCCGTGACATTTAGATAAGAGTGCTGTTCTGATAAAGAGATAACTTGAGAGACTAACCCTGTGTGAAAGTGATGATCGCGATCAATGTTATTTGGCCTGGCTCGAGTTTATTATTTTAATTAGACGGTCAGAGTTGAGGAGAACAAATGAATATAGAGTTACGCTGACTACAGCTCATTGAAGTTTGTTTTAGTTGTGGAACTTTCCAGCGTGACATATTCCCAATTTGCCGATATTGTAACTCTCTCACGGTGGATAGACAAATATTATTTTATTGATCCCAAACTGAGAAACTTCAAATGTAGTACGATCCCCCAAACTCTGAAACTGCATTTAAATCCATCTCCAAAGTTTCATCTATGTGTGGTTTATATTTTATTTTAATTACATTATTGTGATCATGAAGTACTTTTAACTTTGTTAAGGTGCAATACAAATAAAGTGTATTATTATGATGATCGTGAATATAATAATGATTATTAGATTTGATAGATTAGACAGATTTTAGAGTTTAGACACTGAAGGTCGATGCTTTAGAAAAATGATAATGATCCTTCCCACCCTGGAAATATGTCAGATTTTTTTTTGTGACACTGACGGAAACATGAGGTTTAAAAGTTCCACATCCATCACCTGAGATCTAATCGCTCTAATTACAAATAAAGAAAAAAACTATACAGCGTTGTACAGACACATCTACAGACAAATGAAAAAATATATGATGGTATGTAAAGGTCTACTTACACTTGATCAGCTGGATGAATGACGGAGAGGATCCTGAAAAGCAAAATCATTTGTTTGTAGTAAACTTGTATGAACCTTTGGAAAACTTGAGTCATTGACAATAAAATAAGAAATCCTTTTCTCACCCGCTGACTTTAAGGGGGCCCCTACTGGTGAAGTGTTGACTGCAAAATAAAAGAGTTAAATCCAGTGTCACTCAAACCAACGAGTTTCTAAAGAAATGACTCGAAGCTCATTAAATCAAGTGAACACAGAAGAATCTGTTTGACCTACTCGTTGGACTGACGTTGTCGGGCTTCATTGTCGAGACTCCGTCCTGAAAAAGATTTAAAAAAAATCAAACCTTTACCTTCGTCTGCATCTTCGTCTGCATCTCTCTCGTCTTCTGCTTTTTCTCACTGAGTTAACAGATCCGGCCGAATAAGTGTCAGAGGGAGTTTGTATTTTATGACAGAGGAAAAAAGAGGAACTTCTTTATCTGTAATTCATCTGTGAAATTGAAATGCTGCCAGATGAGAGCTTTCTGTGGGTGTTTACGGTAAGTTTGGTTTAATTGTTTTTAAAAAAAATCTGGTCCATGTCTCGTCCACTAACACGGAGCACGTGGGGTTTTATACAGTCTATGGGTAAAGACAGAGATAAGACAGGTGTTGTCACTGCTACTTTCACATGTTACACATCATCTGAATCATGCCAGGGGAACTTTCCGAGCACAGCTGAGACGACTGAACATACGAGGGCACGGTTCCAACAACACGCAGGTTCACGTGTCAGCGTGTTTTCCAGTGAATCTGTTCTACAACAGGTGAACTGACCTCAGGTGACCTTGGTTTGATCGAAGTGAGAAACGCAGCCATGACCACCACAGCCACAGTGAGGAGACCACACCACACCTGGAGCAGCAGGTACTTATGAGAGGACCTCGATCGACTCTCCATCCTGTCTCACACACACACACACACACACACACA